AAAACCCAAAGGGACATGGTGTGCTGATCTCCTGTGAGCCCACATTTCTGGGTGTTGTATGACACATCCTTGTGCTGCAGGGGCCTGAAGCATGCAGAACACTTCCCTCCCATGTCTGCACCTTCCTGCCATGGGCTAGGGGACATGCCATGGGACGGGGATGTGCCATGGGAAGGGACATGCTGTGGGGGTGATGCTTTGTGAGGGGCTTGGGGGTCAGAACTGTTCCTGGGTGCCTGAGTCCAGTCACGTTGGCTTGTCCTGGGTGGGCAGGGAGCACCACAGGAGTAGGAGCCCCTGCTGTGGGGATGCTCCTCTGTTCCACCTCCCACCCCGCTCCATCTCCCTGTTCAGCTTCACAGGTGCACCCTCTTCCCCACTGAGGTTCTCAGCCACTGCCATTCACTTCTCAGATGGGAAATGAGCCCCAGCCCTCTCTCTACACTCCAGAAAAAAAAACCAAAACACCAAGAGAGGAGTGAAATAAACAAACAAATCCTTCCCTCTCCTGGCTTGGCATCTGCTCACAGCCCTTCCATTATTAATTAGAGAAGCTGCCGGCATTATTAGCAACAAACCGCTCCTAATGAAGTTCAGAGCCGCAGATCCAGGAGGGGCTCCCAGACACTGCTTTTCAGAAACCTTAATTAAATTCACTGCCCGAAGGTGCTTTTGGCTGGGGTGCAGGCAGAGCAGCGAGGCTGCCTGGGCTGGGCATGGCCGTGCCTGTGGTGGGCCCTGGGGGAAGGTGCCAGCAGGAGAGGGGCACCCCGCTGTGCCACAGCTCCAGGGTCCCCCCCGGATTTGGGGCTGAACAGAGGAATCAGCTGGGATGCAGCGCTGCAAAGGGGGTACTGCCTGGCCACCACAGGAAAGGCACAAGTGGATGGTTTAATTCATTAATTAAATTTACCAAGTGGCTGACAGTGAGGGTTGCCAGCACTACGTGGGGTCCCTTGCTGGGATGTGTTAAAGGGGTGGCCTTGTGCTTGTGTATGCTTCAAAAACTGGGAAGGCAAGAGGTGTGAGGGGGTCTTGGGCCAAAGAACCAGTTGTGAGTGGCCTCTCTCCCCCCAAGCCCCTGTCTGGGTAAATAACCTCACTGGGGAACTCCACTGACCATCAAGATTTCCCCAAGTGAGATGGTGAAACCTTACCAAGCTGAGGTTCTCTTTGTCACGTCCAGCAGGGTTGTTCTGCACTGGCAGAGCTTGGAGATCTCACTGCTTTGCACTGGGGATGGAGCAGTTTGTGTCTGGATGCAGCTGTGGGAGAGGTCTCAGGAAAAGGATGGCTTTCGCTCCAAACTTCAAAGGAAAAGAAATCCTTGCAGAAACCCTTTCTGCTGATTGCTCCCCTTTTGATGCAGGGTGGGCTGAGATAACACCTGCAAAGAGCAAGTGCAAAACCTGCCTAAAGCTGGATTTTGGCTCTCCATGCATCCTTTCCTTTCCCTATCATCCTTCCTCTGAGCACTGCAATCTCCCTCCCCCCCTGCCCAGATATTCCACCCTTTTTCTCTGGCCTTAAAGGCATTTATTACTGAGGAGTGTAAAAAGATTACTGCAAAATCGTTCTGTGTTACTGGGAAATCATTGCAACATTAGCTCAGTAATATTTTTTCATAAGTGTTTGCTGTGTCTCTTCTCCAACATATTCAGTCTCTGCACACACATCCACACCCCCACAAATCCCACTGAAGCCAGGAGGCACTTGGCAGAGGACAGGAACACGGACCTGACCTGACACTCACCCCAGCTCCCTCCTTCCTGTGCTGGTGGACGAGTTTGCCATCTCTCAGCCAACTGGCTGCATCCTTGGAGCCATGTGCAAGCACTCCCTATTCCAGCTTGTCCAAAGAGCACGGAAAACCCTGCCTGTCAGGGCACTCAGGCTGCCTTGACTCAAGGGGTTTTGCCAGCAGATGCTCATGGAAGATGCTGAATCTGGCAGGTCCTGGGACCAGTCATTTTGCTGAATTTTTAGGGGAAGAAAAGATCCCTTTCCCTCCCACACTTGTAGTCCAGAGCTCTGGGCAGGAGACCCCGCTTCCCTGGGAGCAGGGAAGAAGGTATCAACGAGGAGAAGGAGCTGCCAAAGGAGTTGCAGAGCTGAGCAGGAGACAGTCAGTCCCACCGTGTTGCCCGCAGAGAAGGACACTGACAATTCTGCAAATACCTTTAATGCACTTAGAATACACGGGAGGAAAAAAAATGTTTAGTGATTCACAAAAATATTACAAAAAGTCACGTGCAGGCGAAACACACCCAGCACTGCAATAACAATGTAAGAATTTACATTAGAAACTAATATAAAATATTTAAAAACCTCTGCTAGTTTAGCTTTCTGTTTGTTTTTTGTCTTTTATAAAAAAAGGGAGGAGGGGAGAGGGAAGAAAGGCCATCTACAAGGTACTGGTACACCGGCCACAGAAACACAGGCTCCTTCCAGCCCCACTGGGAGTGTCCTGGGGCTCCTCCATCCACATGACCCCTGCGTCTGCAGACCACACACACACACCCACACACACCCCCAAACACACACACATGTACATGCCTGAAGGACAGAAAAGCTCACCCCAGGGCTGCAAGGGCAACCCCAGAGGTCAGGGTTTGCTGTGGTCCCAGTCACCCATGTGTCCCCTGCCCTGGGAACCTTGCCTTTGCTCCCATTCAGCACACAAAACAAGTAGTGTCCCCAGCAAGAGGCAAAACCTCCATCCCTTTAAAAAAAGGAAAAAGTTAGGGTGTCCAGCCTGGTCTGGACAAGAGAAGGGTTTTGAAAGAGTAAACTTGGGTTTGGAGCATGACTGGGGCCAAACTCACAGCACCAGGACTACAAGGCTGGATGGGTGCAAGGAGCATCCCAGTGCAGGGGCCAGGGCACCACTACAAGCCCCTGGCAGGATGCTGCCTGCTTCCACGGGGCTGCAGATTCCCACTTTGGGGAAAGCCAAAAGCCCAGAGCTCCCCAGCCCGTGATCAGTCCCTACCAGCACAACATGGCCACTCATACCCACCTCCCCTTCCTCAGCCCCTGTGTGTTTTGCATCATGCTTGCTTCTGTAGAGAGGACCAGGAGCCTCATCACCAGCACCAGGGAGCCCTCCTGCTCCCACCCTGCTCGGGGCATTGTCACCAAGCTGTGTTTGTGCAGGACCCACCGCACACGGTGACAGCTCGGGCCCTCCCTCCCTGGCCCTCGTGCTCTGGAGTTTCCGGAGCCGCACTCTCGCTGCAGTTGGGCCCCAGGGAAAGGAACAAAGGAGCCATTTCATCTCCAGCCTCGTCGGGAGCTGAGGGAGAGGGCAAGAGAAAAGAACAGTGTTTGCAAAACATGACAATGGGCAGGAAATTTTCTTCTGCCTTTTTGAGGTTGGGTTTGTTTCTCTCTCTCTTCCTCTTTTTAAAGAGGGCAGGCACAGCATCAGGACAGTTTAAAAACAACCAGGCCCTGGCCAGCCACATCTGCCATGTGCAGCCCTTCCTGGGCTGATGATCCTCTCCTGCTATCAGGGCTCCACAAGCAGGTGAACGATGCTGTGGTCTTCCAGCAAGGGAAAGCGGCGGGGCAGCCCCTTCACAGCAGACTAGAAATGACGTTTGTGAACTGATGTGCCGCTTATGATGATTTTATGGTCTGTCAGCGACTTTAGGGGAAACAGAATCATGGTAGAAATGAAGAGGTGGTGAAGCACAATACACGACAGGTTCACTGCCTGAGAGACAAGTCGATACGGGACCACGTTTACAGCACATTTGCAACCTCAGGCCTATTCTCCATTTGAAATTTTGGACTCATGTCAAACACAAGGCTTGGGTTTTTTTGAAAGAAGAGAGAACAAGCAGACACTGCACAACAGAAAAAAATGTCATAAAAATAGTGGGTTTGAAACAGAGCTTGTTAGGTTGAGAGACTTTAACCCAGCTTTAAAATCTTAAGAGGTGAACGCCATAGGCAAATGTGGATTTTGAGATTGCTCTGGATAGAGTCTTGCTGCTGTGCAGGCTGGCATTTATTAATAGGGACAGATGCACAGAAAGGAATTCTTGGTTGCTTGACAATTCATCTGCCCCTGCAGCTTCACTCACAGAAAAATTAAGGCACAATGTGTTCTCTCACAGGAGGGCAGCCACCCAGTCCCTGGGACATGGAAGGGCTCTCCTGGTGCTGGAACCCTTCCTCACCTGGCCCAGATGGAGTAGGGGCTGAATACAGCCCCAAGACTTGATACAGTGAAGCCAGAAGGCACAAGGCCATGCTCTGGGCTAGGGGAAAACTGGACTCATGGTCTAAGGGCTTGCTCTGGCCTGAAGCTTTGCTCCCCACCTGATGTGATGCTGCCCTGCCCTGGCCAGGTACAAGCTGGCAAAGCAGGACATGGACTCTGGATGCCAACCTAGGAGGAGGGAAGAGCCAAGCATTGCTTTCAAGTGTTTTGGGTTTTTAAAAAAATATTTCTACTGGTCCCAGATGAAAAACAACACAACCCTCACTTCTCCCAAGACCATTTGATGACCTGATGGCGTAATTTCAAAAGCCATCCAAGAGCAACTGAATATTTAAAGAGAAGAGCTTCAGAATATAATTTCAAATCACTGTTGGCAATTCCATGTAGAGTAAAACCAATATACACCATCCTCAAAGAATTAGACACAGCAGGCACCATCCATCTAAGCCACTGAAAATATGGTTACAGCAGCTACAAGACTGACTGCTCTGCTCAGATCACACCCTACATACTTTAATACTGAAATTATACATTCCTTGTCCTGTTTTTAATCAGAAATTGAGAGAGAGAGAGTAGTCCTGGCTTTTAAGACTTCTCCTGTTTCAGAATTGCTGTCACATGCTGGATTTTCAAGGCTCTTCATCTTTCCAAATATCTGAATTGACCTGCATTGCCAGATTTTCTCAAGAGAGAGAAATCCTGCTTCTAAACTGCTTTCATTTCCATCCAGGTTACTGTCTTTAGCCAACACAAGCCCCAAAGGTTTTGGGTCCATACAAACCTGCTTCAGAGGCCTTCTACACAATCAAGAAAAAATTGCCACCAGTGGTTCTACCATCTCATCAGGTTTGGGCTAGAAAAACACCGTGGTATTTATTAGCACTGATGACTTCCCTCTTTCAAACTACTTGCTCACTAAAATACAAAGGTTTCTTTTCCATTTCATTCACACACAGACATGCCCTCTTGCCCCAAGATGAAAATATCCAAACTTCACATCTCATTTACTTGCCAGTGAGTAAGCCTTTGGCAGGGTTGCAAACTTGATGTGAATCGCGAGGGGATGTCCTGTGGCTGCCCAGCTCTTCAGGATCCTGAGTAACTGCAACTTTCTTACTCTTAGGTGAGTTGCTGAGAGGCAGCAACATGACCAGGGAGCTTAAGGGCTGACTTTCACCAGGTTCTCATAGCTGCTCTAACAATAAGACACAGAATTCTATTTTAGCAATTATTTGTCTAATATTTCCCCCCTTACCTAAATAGGAAGATTTCACTTCCTTCCCTTCAAGCCTTCCCCCCTCAATTGTTATCTGGCTACCAGCAAAGATCTGTGAGAAAGTGTCTCAGAAATAGACATTTCTGGCATGCCACCTGTTCATAACTCAAATACACAGAACTATATATAAATACATGACATGGAACAAAAATACACACACACACAAGGATACTGGGTGGATTATCACATGCATTCAGCGTGCTCCCTCCGAAGTCAATGGAAACCCAGCCTAGAGCATCTGATGAGAGTAAATACAGTGAGGAAAACACTTGCATGAGAAAGGCAGAACTGGAGCACGAGCCAGCTTGGAGGAGGTGCTTTCCCTGCATACAGCACCAGATCCCTGCCGTGAAGGCTCCAAGAGTTCATAGCGCAGGAGGTCCCAAGCTTTCCAGATGTGTGTCAGGGCCCAGAGAGGGTCTGATGGACTTCTCTCTGCCCCGTGCTGATCTCTGCAGGAATAGCAACAATTGACCTTCCAAATGTCCCTTCTCCACCAAGATGTGGATTTTAAACTCCTTTTAATGAGAGCTAGCATCTGGAAACAAGGAAGAGCAGCCAGCATCGTGGCAACAGGCCAGCTCTGCTGCAGCACCCCCAGCAAGCTCGTGCAAGAGCATCCATGGGCTACTGTTGGATGGCTTTGGGACAAAATTGTAATTGCTGCCCTTGCCTTTTCCCCACTGCCACAATTATCTGTTTGCCCATTATCTTGTGGTGGGACACTTGGGCACAGTGTTCTTGAAGCTGGACTGGTAGGTTTTCATGGCACTTTCCCACCCATGCTGTCCCTTGCACATACATCTACAGTGCAGAAGGGATGCTCAGTGCTAACCAGGACAATGAAAACTGGCCAAGAGATCCCATGGATGAATGCAGCCTGCCACAGCACAGAAATCACTCTGGCTGGCACATGCAGATATCTGAAAGTTTGCTCTTTCACAGCAGGATTTTAAGATGATCCTCTGAGTTCAGACAAAATGACAAACTCATTTACATGTAAATTGCTTTCATTGCTTTGCAGAAAGGAAGGTTCTGCAGAGCAGTGTTGGACCCTGCATTTGGCCTGCCTTAAATTATAATATAAAAACAATTATAATAATACAAATACTACTTTGTACACAAAGCACGCCCTCCCCTGCAAACCCTGGCATGCTTCGGTAGGTCCTACAGCCCTCTAGTCAATAGTCACCCTCTCTGCACAGAGAGACATTGAGTGACTTGCCTGAGGCCACAGAGGAATTCTGTAGCAAGTCCAAGGAAAGCTTTGTGGCTCCTAGCTCTGCTTCTTGACCAACATTAACCAGCCTCAAATATATGCAGAAAACATCAAAGCTGACTGTGCTGGGAAGAAATTAAATCAGAAAACAAACAGAAAACCGACCCCAGGGCACTGTGAGGCCTCCTGGACTTTGCTGTTTGATCAGGGGAGTTAAGTGTTAAAAGCTTTTGTTGTACTTGCATTAGGATCACACAGCAAGTGCGCATAAACCACCAGTTATCTTGCAGGCAGAAAGGGGTGTAAGGAAAGCTGCACCTCCCCCGACAAGGAGTGAAGAGTTGTCACCAAAAGACAATGGGCAGAGGAAGGCTGGGGAATATGCATCAGAAACACCCTGCAGCAGCAGCAGCAGCAGGGGGTAAAGCTGCGGTGTTTGCTGCAGGTATCCACAGGGCCAGCAGCTGATGCAGAGACACAACCTGGCACTGCAGAGACCAGCTCCTCTGCACGCTCCTTTTGCTCCAAGGAGGAAGCCACAGAGATCTAGAGAGTGTCTTTTCAAACTGGTTTTGATGCTTTACAATTCAAACCCATCTGAAAGGAGGAAGGTCAGCAACAAGAGCCACCACAGCGAGGCTAGAGGGGAAAATGGAGCTGCACTAGGACACAACCCTCCTGGAACAGGGAGAATAGTTGGCTTCATTGAGGCTGAGACTCCTTTCTGCTGTGCCAGGGCAGCAGAGATCTCCAGTTCACATGCTTTCAAGCAGCCCCCCGGTCCTGCAGAGCTGCTGAAGTTGTCCCTGTGAACAAATGTCCTTTCTAGCTTCTCAAATTCTGTACAATAGCAAGGAAAAAATACTTGACAGTATCTCTTTAAAGATAAACACACTGTAAACAGGAGATCTCCCCCGCCCCGGTAGCTTTCTTCCTCCTGCTTGTGCAAAACCAGAGGTTGCGACCTTCCCTGGGGTTCAGGCACAAGGACAGGATGCACGAGAATAAAGTTGCCTCTGTTTGCAGTGATACCATAGCTAATAGCACCAAGACCAACACTTAAAACATGCCTAATTTGAGGGCAGGGAGGATCTGGATTTGTTTTTCTTGACTGAACTAGAAAGTTCATCTTTAAATCTGTTCAGCTTCAAGCATGTGAGCTTTTGGCCTCCTTTAAACAGGGGAAATACCATTCCGTTTCTAAAAAGAAAAAAAAAATAGCACATGGAAGAACAGTTCTGCAGTCAGTAAAAGTTTGGCTAACAAAAGGACTCCAGAGTCACGTAAAGAACATTTAATCCACGGATTATAGGCTCGCACCTGGCAGAAATGTATGTGTAAATACAGGCGTGCAGAGCGTCTACACCCTGGGCTAAGGCAGAGGGGAGTTCTGCAGCTAGGAGAGAGAAAGGATCCTTACTACTAATTTTCATAGTTAAATATTTCTCACTCGCACTCACACATACGCAGGCTGCTCCCAGAGAGTTCAGCCTTGGGAAGGATAAAGGAAAGGGCTCAGTTCGGTCTGGGCTGGTGCTGAGTAGCTCCTCTTCTGTTTGCAGTGGTTGTGCAGCAAACTCTTTTTATTTGCAGGCAGAGTTTTTACTGCATTAATTATCCTGTGAGTCACTGGGTAATGGACAGTAACTTGGCTCTCCCAGTTGTTAGAATAGTGTAATTCAGCTCTAATGCAGTGGGTTGTCGAACACGGCATCTGGCAAGATGGAAACTTTCAGTTTCTTTTCAGGCCAGCTGTACTCCTTTGGAAGTTTAAACTGTAAGACAGTAAAGAGAACCAATTAATGCATATCACTACAATCTGCACAGAAAAAACAAAATTGTTGCAAAGGCAGGCAGTCCCATGTTATTATTATTTTTTAAAACAAGAGGCCACTAAGAAAACATTTCCCCATCGGTATGTTTTGGACAGCAGTGGACATTAGATAATGTGGCCTGTCTCAGCTGCCAAAGTAAAGTTGTGAGCTTTCAGCCCAAGTGCTGCTTATTTCATCAGATGAATTTTGGAGTGTTTCTGCCCCCATCACTATTTCCACTTCCCAACCTCTCAGAAGATTTGCAGCAGAAGTGTCTTTCCTCCTATCTAACCACCTCCCTCTTCTTTCACCCAGCCCAGCCCCCAGAGCCCACATTTGCTTTAAAGGGAGTCTGAGGGCAGCTTTCAAACCCCTGCTGTTCAGAGTGGAATGTAGGTGAGCCATCAGAGCTCTCTGGTGACAGGCAAACTGTGCTGCCCTGGCTGGGGAGAGCCAATGTGCCTGCACAGCATTCCTGCTGCAGTCCTTCCCACCTCTGGCACAAAGGCCTCACAGAGCCCTACAATGCCTTGTGCTCACACAGGCACTCAGCTGCTCAGGCTGTTTTGCAAACACTGGTTGAAGCACACAGAAGGGAGATTTTTTGCCCTAGTCTGGTTTACACAGCACTGTCTGTGGCCAATGTTTCCCAAACAAGGCAAGTCCACCGGTCCCATCCTGATGCTTCTGCTCGGGCTAGGAAGTCACCCCAACATCAACACAAACACAACCAATTCAGGGACAGAGCTGCAAGGAGCCTTACCACCAACCCTTCTCACAACGACGTGACCCGTGCCCAAGCATTCACACAGGTCTCTCAAACACAGTTGTGGAGTGGGGGTGAAGGTGTGGGGTGGAATCTCTTAGGCCACAAATCTGCCTCGTCCACAGCTGAATGGCAACCAGCTCTGCATAGGCATTTTATGCAATCTCAGTGGCCAACCTAAGGACCCAAAACACAGCTATCCCATGGTGGGGGGATAGCTCTGGAAGCCTGTTTGCAGGCTCATTTTGTTTTCAAAACTGTACTGCATTCAGTGTGTTGCACTGCCTTGCCCTGTGATACTCCCTGACACCCTGATGGGACTCCCAGGCAGGAATCTCGTGGGGACCCAACACCACCAGTGACAATCTGCCCTGGAAGTGGCTAATTCAGGATGGTTATGGATACAGTGGTCCTCTCCTAGGAGATCCTCAGACTCAGGTCAGCAGCACATAGGCTTCCCAGGGCTGCTTGAATAAGAGAGCTGGTACAAGGGGATAGCGACTGGAAATCATCAGTCTTTATCCAATTACTTGTCTTTCTTCCTATAAGCACCCTGTTTCTGATGGGCACCAACACAGGCTCAGTTTGAGGCTCCTGCTAAAGGAGATCCCCTCCAGCTGCCTGCTCCACAGCAAGGGTGTCTCTAAAATGAATTTGCTCCTGATCTTGCTCCATTTGCAGCTGCCCATGAGGGTAACCTGCAGTTAGTACCCATGGACCTTAATATGCTGATGGTTCGTGGTCTGATCCATGACCTGGGGGCACAGCAGGAGGATTCTTCAGGATAGAGGCCACCACAAACTCCTGTTTGTTATCCTCTAGGAAACAAACAGCTCAAGTCCTATTCAAGTTTTTTTATAAACTCAAGCCCTGTGTATAGCTTGCACCATGTAATCTACTGGCTCTGCACAGCCCAGAGAATTCTGAGTTGCTGTCTAGGACATGTGAAAAACATGTAAAGATACTCAGACAGATGATTACACTTAATTTCACTTAACACAGGTGGTTCTTTATGTGGCAAAGGAAAGACTCCTCACAGTGCTTCATTCTACCACATGAACATCATCAGCAACAGTCAGGCCTGCTGAGGAATGCTTTCAGTTGGCCCGACCCAAATCCTGCAAGTTACAAATCCTTGGAGGAATCTGGATGCTGAAAGATCACATTTCATCTCAAGTATTTTCCTTTTTATAAACAGCAGTGGTTCCAAAGCAATCCTCTTGGAGAAGTCATCCTTTGCATTTGTTTGTTTTTCACTTTTTAATTCAGCAAAGTCACAGTGAGTGGGAACCAAACACCCTGTTGCTGTGCCAGGAGCTGCCATGCTCTTTGCTTCAATGGACAGTGAAGGAACACGAGCCGTCCAAAGCCTTCACTAAAGGGCCTTCAAACCAAAGTGCTCCTGGGCTTCCATGTCACTAGCAAAAATGAGCTTTGGATTAGGTTTAACTGGATAAAAGCTGGCTTGAAAGTCACTGCACAGCCAGCAGCATGCTCCCCTCACTCACACAGTGAGGAACACCCTGGCATTAAGTCAACTCTGGATTAAACAATTAGAGCCCTGAGATTTTCCTGGGGGGAGGGGAGCAGAGCAAGGGATGGGAGGGCTGTTCTACAAGCCAAGGAAAGTTTCTTTAGAGTCTGCAGGGAGCTGTAAAAAATGGGATTAAAAATATTACATGTCATTTCTGCCACTGATCTTTGAAGTCAAGCAGAATATTTATATGGCATGCATGGGAGACGGGGTGTTAAATGTTCCCCAGGAAGAGATCACATGGCGGTGGGAAGTTTAGTACCAGCTTTATAAAGCCCCCCTGGCTGTTGCTGTAATGCTTCCAGACTGGTGATGGTCCTTCACACACCGTGCAGGGCCAGCAGGTGAAGGCCAAGTAGCAGATGTGAAACAGCCCTGCCTGCTTACCAAACCCACTAAAGGAGGCCCATACAACAGATTGTTCAAAAGTATATGTGCTACCACCACTTTCAGCCTTTCTGAAAGCAGGGAAGGTAAGGTGATGTGCTAGGAGCTGCTGGTGAGGACTACATCTATGCATGGCATGGAGGAAACCCTGCCACCTGGCCCAGGGGCTGCACTGCTTTCATTTGGGGTGCTCAGATACTCTGCTGGAAGAGATGCTGATGGAAATCAAAACACAGAGTCTCTCTTAATACCTATCCCTGTCTTGTATTTCTTGCAATCCCTTCTCTCAGTGCCTCAGTAGTTCACAGCAGAAGTTAATAGTGAAGGCTTAGCATGGCCTCAAGTCTATGGATGGGGCAGGGCTGCAGCCTGCAGGCTGAGGGGAGGATCAAAGACAAGCTGCAGGATGGGCTGAGCTCTCTGGGACAGTACATGGAAGATACAGGAATGATGCAGCCTTACTTCCTCTGGAGAATTCAGATCTTCTAAATCTTCCAGCATTCTCTCTACGAACTCTTCAGTCAATAGGATCTGCAAAGGAAATACAGTATATTATGCTTTACACTCTTAGTTTTAGCTAATTGCAGGAACAGCATGAATTCTGCACGGAGCAGACTGTACCAACTCACTCCTTCCCATATGTCCTTCTTTACCGCAATACAAAGGTTTGAGGGCAAGGAGCTCCTAACTTTGTCTTCCACCCCAACCACTGAAAAAAATGTTGAAATTACACAGCAATCTTTTTTGACCCTCAATTATCTCCCTTGGTCTAAAATTAGAGGCTTGGCTTTAGACAGAAAGAGTGGGGAAGGAGGAAAAAGGGTCAAGATAACAACTGTTGGAGAGACAGTGGGAGACAGCCACTTTCATCTGATCCATTGAAGTCAAGCTCACAGTTTAATCAGGAAATAGCAGCATAGGAAGAGACAGAGATCCATACAGAGCTGGTGCTCTGAGCATGGGGAAGGGCCTGACCCCAGTACAGCACATTGTTCACATGAACCAGATGCTGGGTGTGGGAAGTGTTCCCAGAGGTGCCCACACAAGGCACCCCCATATTGTGATGGCAAATGCCCATCCTGCGTGCCTGTGCTGGGAAAGCTTTTGGCTCACCTCAGAGCAGGCTGGCAAGCATGAAGCAGTCCAAGAAAACAGCTGCTGTCAAGTCAAAAGTCCTGGATGAGAACCACGACCCCAGCTCCATGGAGTCCCCCAAATCACAGAAACCAGAAACATCATGGGGGAAATCAGCCCTGGAAATTCAAGCAGAGGAACTCCCACCCTCTTTAAAAAAATATGTGATAGGCAAAAGCAAACACATCCTGCCCTCTCCACAAGAGCCGCAAAGGCCAGAGCTCCAGGCAGGACAGCTGGCTTGGCACAGGAGCAGAGACGGCCGTGCAGGACCAGGCAAACATCCCCACGCAGTGAGGGGGCCTTGGAGCAGCATTCCTGGGAGTTAGGTTGCAGCAGCATCCAGTGGATTATTATTTCCATTTTAGCCTACAGGTTTGTTTCTTTCCCTCTGCTCCTCCTTTCCTTCCTCTGGTCCACCCTTTCCTCCTCTCTGGCATTATTTTCCATCCAGAAGAGCCCACCATTCCCATGCCCCCTTTCTCACCCTTCCTCTCCCTGTTCTTCCCAGCCATGAGCCCTGTGCTCCAGAGAAGGGACTGTTCTAGCACCAAACAGTGGTCGAGCCAAGTAGCCAGTTGCACTGCTCTCCACCTCACATGTGGCAGAGGGGCAGCCAGGCTGTCCCACTGCCCTGCAGGAAGGCCACCTCCTGTGCCCACTGGCTGCTTAGGGACAGTGGAGAGTGAGTGATGACAGGATGCCATGGGCAAGTGGAAGCCTCTGGGCTCCATTTTGGCAACACATAAGCAGGACTATTGGACAGAAAGAGAAATTGAATACTCTCGTCTCCTTTCTTCTTTTTTTGGGCAAGACAAGAGATCCAAAAACCACTAAATCTAAATCCAAGGTGTCTGCAGTCCTCTCCCCTCAACATTGTCACACTGCTGCCACTACACACAGATTTCCTGGGGGATGATGGAACCACAACCTCCCCTTTCCACTACATTCCCCTCTTCACTTAGCTTCAACCCGCAGCAGGCTCCAGGCCAGGGTTTATGACCAAGCTGCTCAGCATGAATGCAGGCACCTTTACCAGGCTTTTCTGATCATACCTTGAGCCTGAAAAGCTCTGCTTCAGCTTGGAGCCAGCAGCTTGCTGCTTTGGACAGGACTCTGCAACCTGGCACCAATCTGCAGACTGGCAAGCTGAGGAACATTGCAGTGAAACACGCAGTGCCACCGCAAACTGCTGCAGTCTCCTTGCAGGGGCCTGCAACTCTTCTGCCATTGAACTGGAGACACTCATTTGCTGGCTGTTTGCAGGAGGAGGAGGGAGAAGTCTGTCCCTGTTGGAGGCAGGAGGGCAACCTGATCACTCAGCTCAGGAGGAAGGGCTGGGTGGGGAGCTGGGGCTGTGCTCCGAGAGGATCGCTTTCTGCGGAGGTGCAGTCTGCAGTGGGGTGAGGGAACGAAAACAATTTGGCAGACATCAAAATCTACAGAACAGCCGGAAAAAGGAGGAGGAATTGGTATTCACAGCAATCAGGCCAGGAGGAAATGAATATTCAGCCATCCACGGATGAGCAAAAATGCCAGAGGTTGGGATGGGTGAGAGAGCAGGAATGAGGAGCTGCAGCTTTGGCAGGGAGACTGGAAGTCAAGCACAGCAGGAAGACCCCTGGGCACTCCCAAGGTGCCACAGGCAGGAGAGAAATGGGAGCCACGTGTGCAAGGCAGCCAGCTGCTCTGAGGCTGTAGGAAGATAAGACAGGCTATGCAGGGGTAAACAGCAAAGGGTGGAGAGAATGAAAGAGGGGACAGGTCAGGTCCTGGCTAAGGACAAACCTACATGAAGCAGTGTGCCTAGCATCGAAACTGGGGTACAATGCCTGAAGATGGCTGAGCCTGTCTACAGCTCACTGCCCTCTCTCATGAATTTTGGTAATCCAGCTGAAATAGAAGCACAAATTCCACTGAGGCACTGAGCTGAACTGGCTCCCTGAAAGGTCTGACAAGTGGAGCGAGACAGGAGACCACAGCTCAGCTCAGCTGCATTTGGGGGCTCAAAGCAATGGCAGCCTGCTCTGTGCAGCACGTGAGGAAAGATCAGCGCCTTCTGCAAGCCCTGCAGGGACAGTTAACTTTGGAGGTCAGCAGGTGTCACAGGTTGCAGTGACAAACTGCTGCAGTGACATTCACACACAGAGTGTGTGTCTCAGAGCCTGTCCTTAACAGTCCAAGTCAGAAAAAAACCCACCCCAAATGCTACTACCCCACACTGCTGGGGAGACCTGCCTTCCTTCCTGGAGAAGAAGGGACACTCCAAAGTGCAGGTGTAACCAAATGTACAAACAGCCACGTCCCACAACACAGGAAACTGGCACTCTTGAGGTTCTCCTGAGCATGTAGGGGGAAGGCATGTGCCAGCAGGACACCAACTGCTTAAGAGGGCTTGGAAGCAAGAAATATTGTCATGCTGGATTCACATCTAGACAAGATTTCTCCTGTTAGAAGTAGCCCAATCAAAACAGCCCAAGAGCACTAATGCCTGTGCTCATATATAGATCAGGCTGCCATCCCCACCTGCAATTAGCTAAACCACCTTTGTGCTGGTGAGTGAGTCTTATGGACAAGGCTGAGAATAAATCCAATCCTATCTCAGCACCCCTCACTCACAATATTTCACATTTCCAGTTCTTGTAGCATGCCTGCTCCTGCACAGTATGATACCCCATTACATTAACACACACACACGTTGTATGTGCATGATATTAAAGGTGACATTCCCAGCAAATAAACATGACAGACTGCCATTGCTCTAGGCACCTAATTTAATTTCCTCTGGGATTTAAACCTTAGAAGCTCAAATTAAACAAATAGGCCTCACTCACTTTATACTTCAGAACTGAATCTGAGTTTTCCTCTGATGCTGTTGACTGATCTTATCAACAGGACACTACACAGAGATCACAATGATGAAGCAGCTTATTCCCTTCCCAAAGGAAAACAGAGCCCCACTGTTGTGCTGCAGCCATGGGAAAAGCCGACACAATCTGGAGGGCAAACGAAGCCATCCCATGTGCACTGAACGAGCCTCTTCTCCCATGAAATCTCTCAGCTGGTGCTGAGGAAGCAAAGGAGTAGTCCTGATCAGGTGTCCTGGGTGCTGCAGCAGCCTAGTCTCACAGCACCGTGTTTTCACAGCCCTGTGCAAACACCCAGCCTGCCAAAGCTGGTCACAGGGTGCAGCTCCGCCTGAGCAATGGCTGTTTGCAGTATGAATAGTGAATGGCTCTGCCAGCCAGCTGCGGGTACCTGAAACAACTCCTTGGGTGCTGCACAGTCCTGCTCGCACCAGGATCTCCCAGACCTGACCTAGAGAGGCCTGGACATGTGCTAAACCACTGCCAGCAGATCTGGATTCCATTTGCTCTGTGTTTTGTGGCACTGAGTCATGCCACAGATGCTCGGAAGATGACAACAGCCAGAAGATAAGTCCCTGTTTTCTATCACAGGTACCTACCACACAACTGAAGTACAAAGTTTGGGTTCTCAGCACTTCACTAACAGCTGCAAGTGTCCAGACATGTTCAGAAAACCAGGCTAGGCTGTCTCATTCAGGTGGATGTGCTCAGGGAACACATGCTGTCTCCCTCTCGTGGCAAGTCTCACCTGAGCTTGCTGAAATCTACTTCTTATTCACAGGGCTCACCTATGGGTCACCTCAAGGAGTTTGTGTTGAAGCTTTCTGTGCTGAAGCTTTCATACTCACATCTGGCAGAGAAATCTGTATCATGACTTGTTACAGGTACTCAGCTGCAGGCATATGAAAATGGATGAAATCTAAAAGTGCACACAAGATCATGGAGCTCCAGATGAGTTTGGCTGACTTTGAAAGCACCTGGTGCTTAGTAAAACATTAAAGATTTTATAGTCAGCTTACAAGTACCACCCCACAGTTAACTCCCCATCTCTCACTACAGGGTTCAACGCTGCCATAAGGGATTGACATTCTCAGCTCAGGAAAGGCTCCTGGGGACAGAGGTCACACCAACGCTGAATGCCTGGCACAGCTGGCAAGACTCTGATCAAGGAAGACTCTCAGAGGCTGAGATAGGAATCAAGCTGCACCTCTGTCCAACTTAAGGAAAGATGCTTTGCCCAGGGCAAGACACAAGCAAATAAATGGCCCAGCTACATTGAAGCAGAGGCTTTCACTGATAATACTCAATTTTCTTGCCTACCTAGGAAAAAACCAAACAATCACACACTTTGCCCTAGTGCTCTGTTTGCATTAAACACTGCAAGTTGCTTTTCTAGCAGGTTTGTCAAAGAAAGGAAACCATGTTTTATTAGTTCTGGACTTAGTACAGAGATGGCCTGTATGTCCAGCTGGAGAAGGTGAGGACACATTGCAATAAACCCTTATGTAAACCACACCAACCCTTGTAAGA